TCTGCCAATTCGAGTATGCGCAACTCACCTCGTTCTATAAGTGTAGCTAGTGTTCATCGGCATTGCTCAGCGATTCAACTGCGCAGGAGCTCGCAGTTCTCTTCGTTGACATAAATCATGAACTCATGGGAGCCCGTCGAGTCATTGCAATCAAACATGCACATATATTGACATTGCAACGTACAAAGAATTGAAGCGCCTGCAACTTAGCCATCTCACCACCACCGTAGTGAATCAATCTGGCGGTAGTTGGATGTCAGTTTGTCTGCGGTCTCCGCCTCGAGTTAAAGTCAATTCTATAATTAAAACCATCAAGCCTCGATAATTCCCGCTTAGCATGTTGTCCGACACAACTCGCTCCCATGGTGAGATGCGGGTGTATTTTACTCCACACGTATCGCTACCAATCTCTAACTCCCTCGACAAATATACCCTTATACTGATTGGATACCTGATGTTGTGATACCCTCTCGTGGGTCGCACGAAACAGGTACATCCCCCAGGTAAACTATACTGGATTAGTTGTGCCCCTGCTCCCCCAGTTCACCCTCGCATACTAATCCGAACTTAACTTCAGCCCGACACTTTTGTATGTGTGTGCAAATCACAATGGGACTCTTATTCTGCATTCACTTTATAAATATCGATCCCAAGGTGGAAGCAATGACAGTTGTCAAGCAGCAATACTATTGTATTCCCGCACCATATCCATCACTGTCCGGCAACGGTATGCATAACTGTAGAAGATCAATCATGATATTCAGAGAGAGGATCGTTCACTCTTACGAGCGCCATACTGTTCTAGAAACGGCTCGAAATGCCGGGGAATATAGGGTTGCGATGCCTCTGTCAATACGCAAATAGCATATAGTTGCAAAAGAAGGTTAAGCAACCCATTTCTCCATCTGCCATGTCTGACATATGGATCTCAATCTTGCACCGAATTCAAATCTGAACTGGGTTGTGCAATGACTCGGCACACAACAAGAGTTACGAGACAAAACGTTATCGGCTCAAGTGGTCACCCGAGCCATGCTTGCGTCCAACTAAGCGTCACTAAACACTAGATTTTTTTTGGAGGTCTTATCTGTATGGATACCTACTACCAACATCACGTAGGCGACTTGTCTCTCCTACTACGTGGAACTTTATCACCTATCTCGTACTATCAGCTCACACAGACGACTTGTCTCTTCTACTACGTTAAATTGTTCATCCTAAATCCCCTATCCCATATTACCAGCATCACACAGACGACTTGTCTCTCCTACTACGTTAAATTATTCGTCCTAAATCACCTATATCCCAAAATCACCTATCTCATACTACCAGCATCACGCAGACGACTTGTCCCTCCTACTACGTTAAATTATTCATCCTAAATCGCCTATCTCCCCAAATCACCCATCTCGTACTACCAGCATCACTTAACAACTTGTCTCTCCTACTACGTTGGATTATTCTTCCTAAATCACTTATCTCGCCGCTGTATCGTCACCAACCTAAATCCAACACCTGCATCGAGCTTGTCTCTAAACTGCTGCGGTATGTAGTGCCGCGGTGCTCTTTCGACCGTCATGGATATTCTCTCTTGGGCCTCAGCCTCTCTTGCCGCCTAGGTAGGGAATGATGGTTTGTATTTGCAGGTAGATATGAATGTACTGCGCGCCAGTAAGTGGTTCTCGCCAAATCAGGATTTAAAATCTGCTCGACAAGTCCAGAACGACAGCAATTAATCCAATATAACGACAGACTCGACGCTTGTGCTTCCCACAATACTATCTATAAATAAAAATATGACATTGAAGCTTCGAAATGGATAGCACGCATATTGACGAGAGATAGAAGCGAACGAACCTGCAGGAAATCATCGGATCCGTCTCTCTCCGGAGGGATAACGAGAAAGAATCGCCCATCTAGTTTCTGTACACGGATTATCGGAACACATCACAATATTGTTAGAAACGAAGTGTAGTGTCCGTTGAATAACACAATATTGATGGAAATAAAATACAATTTTTATTATTACATCACAACATTGTTAAAACTGAAGTTTTGTGTCCGTTGATTACATCAAAATATTGTTAGGAATGAATTGTAGTGTTTGTTGATTGATCACTGCTGCACTTTAAATTTGCATGGGAATGTGGCAAGAGGCCTTGCGACTAATAGCAAAGAACAGTACGCATATTTGATACAACTCTAAAGTTGACGATATATGATATCAGAGTCCAAAGCATGTACAAGTGTTACAGAAAACGGCAATATTCGCAATGTACCAAATGCTACTTGGCAGCTCGGCAACGTACGTGCTGGGCAATCAGATGAAATTTAACTACAAGTTGTGCACAACGAGGTATCGCACACAGACATGGGCATATTCATGCAGCAAGAGACTATTTAAGACGTGCATGAAACAGTCAATTTAGCCCTTCCTACTGATGACAAACATCACATAGCAGACAGGCGAAACAAGTGATCGGCAGAACTAGTAATGACACTTTACCAAATATCGTGGTATAATGTCCGTCACAATAGCCGTCGCGATGTGTCCTGTGTGGTAGATGATATCGGCAGCAATGATAACCTCATATGTTCCCAGCTCATCTGCTTCACGTGATCCGAAGTGTAATTTGCGGTCTCTGTCTAGGTCGCCCGTCACAAGTACTCCATCTGCTAGATACATCCGGTATAATTAACTCAAAGAAGAACTCATATGTAACTGCGTGTGGGCACTGCCTCGTGCGTTAAGCAGTAGAGCTGCCGTGTACCATAGTTTAAAGCCTCCACTGTGATGGCTGCACAGAGATCGTATAAAGGACTATGTTGCGATCAGGATGCTCTCGGATATAACAACAATGCCATAATACCCCCGACATTTCGAGTACATACCTCTCAGTCATATGTAACAACGAATTGTGTACAACCTCGTCCGCGGTACTATGATGTGGTGCGAGTGCGAATCGATCGCTTCATCCTCATACCAAACGGAGCTTCACACAACTAACAATCATTGCATCAACACTGCCGTGGCTTTTAACCACATCTGATATGACAATCTACATACCTTCCACAGGAGTGTAGAGATCCGGAGTCTCGCCACCCCATCTCAGCACCAGTGCAGGTTGCAGCACGCTTGCCATGTGCGCGCCCATCTTCGCTTCTGATCTATTTTGTTCTAAAGTCGGAGTGAGCGCTACTTCGCCATCGGTCATCACAACCGATTTTGCAAATATCGCTGTCAATACTCCTGCGCGCGTCAAAAAGCAGAATAGTAAGCTTTATAATGTTTAAGTGATAAAAGTGATCTGCACAAGGCGGCAACATAGTCGTATGCGCTCATGTTCAAATACCTTTAAACCCCTTTCTGAGCGGCACATGCCTCTGTACAATACTGCGAACGCTACTGAAGTTTAATAATTTAAAGGCGATGAAGGTCACGAGGCATCGCTGAATATCTCTGCCGCTTAATATAACTACTCCTAACTGGGAGAGACCCGCCGAACTGCTCAAAACGCTTACAATCACGCTCGAATGCAGTAGCTGTGGTTGGGTTTTATATGGTTATGTGTCACCCTTACCCAGTGAATTCACATTCATCTGTATATTCTCTCGGGTAGATCGAACACTATAAGAGTTCATCCTCATCGAGTGCACATGCAGCTATTGTCCTTGCTTTACAGGGTCTCGGTTAGAAGAAAACAAACGAGCAACTCACCTGCTAACCCACAGCCCGCACCCAGTTCCAATACATCCTTGTTCCGCACGTGAATCCCCAATTCTCCTTCTAACAGCCAGGTGGCGAACACTTGAGCCCCCGGCCATACTTCGAAACCTAGACCACCTGACGTGAAGGTTCCCTGCAGACCCATAAAATAGAAAAATTGAGAGGTCGTCGTGCGTATGTGTCCATTGCAATACTTTCTTCAAATGCTCACTTAAGTATATTGAAGGGCCGTCGGGCACGAGTATAATATCATCCAGTGATAGACTGAAAAGTAGAATCTCAAGTATTCGTACACGCACACAGTCACTAGTATACCCGAAGATATATACGATAGGAATAGTGAACATATTCAAAGTCACCGATACATGTAGTAACGAGATGCACACCCAGACATGGGTATTGCATTTGGACGTAGACCTATACGCACCTCAGCGAGACGTAAATCAACAGACCATATGCATTCGCCTGATCTGGCCACCTCAAACCCAGGATACTCACACACACCGCACACAGGCGAATGGGAGGTATAATAAGTCTGTGTCACAACACCTCTAGATGCTACGGGTGAGGCTAACCGCCCCAATGGCACAGATGCCCAATCCATTACTTGCGCTGCTAGTTCGATCTGCTCGATATCGCCTGTTCGTGTGGGTGGTTACTTGCGTTTAAAATGAACAGGCACTCCAAACGGAGGGAATTAGCTAGTATCTACAATATGTCTATTGACAGATTGCTCAAAAGTGACAGTGCTTGAGCTAAAAAAAGTGGCCCTTAAAATTCATCGACACCGAACTGCAGAGGGTTTCACGCTACCTGTCATCATGAGCTTCGTCATACGCTTTAACAACCGTGTCAGAGTGTCTATAGTACCGTATTGCCTCGCTTGTGCGTCCACATCATCGATAACAGTTATGATTGTTAGTAGTTGCAGACACTCGCACATCATTTCCAACGCAGCCACACTCTCCCAATTCCAGCGCGGCAGAACCACTCCTACATAGATGGAATTGAGAACTATCAGTAAATTTTAAGCGAATAATAACAATAGCTATACTGGTCATCATTGTTTCGGCACAGATGAAATAAACACATCGATGAGCAGCCACACAAATATCATGCATGGTTCTTCCCAATGGCTCTAGTCACTCTGTCTAGTTCTCAATCCAAGATATGAATTTCCATTCCACAAGATCGTTTGAGATCAACTGAATTTTGCAATTCAATCTTCTTTTTAGTGGAGAGTAAACTCAGTTCGTTTACACATTTATTTGATCGTTCCTTCATAGGGAGCTTCCCATAGAAACGAACAGGCTCTCTGAATTATCGTAGAGCAGTGTCTGTCGGGACCAAAGCATCCGTTGTATTAAACTTTTGCTGAAGGTGATGGCTCATCCTTTATTCTATGAGCTTTCCGCACTCCCACCCACTGGCAGACAGTCTATCGGCTTTAGAATGTATTCCAACATTGGTATGCTCATGTACAAGCATATTTGTAGTGAAATTCGCGAAAAGTCTTGCCTAGTCACTAGTACAAACACTCATCTCTCTGCAAATGAAATCGTCCTGCAGAGCTCCAATGCATCTATGGTACCATACGCGGAATTTTCGAAAAAAAATACAGTCCTTCTCCCGCAGCTTGTGTATGTGATAACTCTGAATTTCGACTTCGTAATCCTGTGTGGAAGATCTACATGATGTAGCCTGGAGCATTGCTATATCTTAGCACACTCGGGATTCCGAGCTCGAAGTAACAGCACGCGATAAAAAAATACATTATACTCAGACTAACAATCCATCGAATTTGCAATAGAGGTAATGCTGATCGTATATCACCTACTACTGTCGTACAGCAAACAGCCATCAAGACAATGATAAATACCGGACACTACAATAAGTTTGTCTACATATTCATGTTGTGCCCCTTGAATACTCGAACACTCGCAAACACACAAAGAAAAAAATCGTTTCTCGATAGAAGGCAGCAGAAGGTCACAGACACAGAACAGCAGCAGCGATGGCGAGGATATGCTAGCCTCAAAAACGCACACCGCAATGAAACACACTTGCGAGTATTGCTTACGCAAAATATAATCACCTTTAAATTTGTATCTCACCAATAAATGTGTATGTATGCGTCTATACGTACATTAGAACTGGCCTATCATGTCATACTAACACCTACGCGCACAAAACTAGTCATGCCATCACCGTGTACGTGTCAGAAAGTATTCCAATCTGATAGCAAAATCTCAATGGACCTTATATACAAACTCCAGGGATCACGATAAACCTCACAAGATAATTCGCGAAGTGAGTGAATTCTATATAGTAGTGTACGCTCGCAACATCTACACTTTCACGAGGGGCATTTGCGGGGTCCTTCCTGTTCCAGGCATACGATACAACCAGTTTCAATACAAATTATGTATATGAACATCTACCCCAACTATGTCCATACTCACAAACACGTTAAATGTATGTATGTATTTATACACAACAATACACATGATGTTGCTACTTCGTGTACAATTACATTTAGTCGGATTGGATGTATGCGTATAAACCTATATCGCGTAAAAAATACATACGTATACACCTACATAAAAATGTGGTTATAAGTGCACTTAGGCGTATGTATAACTCTTGCAAACTTCAAGCTTCATATGGTTTTGGTGACTTCAATGCTTGAGTCTATTTGTAGCGGCTCATATAAAGTGTTTTGTCTAATAAACTGTTGTGCGTGTACATTCCGCCACTGACATGGTGCTCTAAACACCAGACTATGCATAAAACCAGCTTCAGCTCTTATAAAAAACTATCAACCTATACAAATATATACTCATGTATACCTATGAGCACATACAGATATGCGTAACACACATATGCCTTTTACTAAGCTGGCCCATAAAAACATTGGCATATGATATTGGGTAACCTATACATCTATTATCTATTACAAGATTCACTTACCCATTGGCATACGTGTATCCTCAGCCGCCCCCACCAAACCCCTCAGAACACACAGCAGCAGCTCGTGCCCATCGCACGGCCAATGTTTAGCGGCTATTGTACCGTAATCGAATGGATGTATCAGTGATAAGCGTACTCGCCTATACACTCTGAGAAGTACTGTACTATCCTTTGCCTCTCTCAATGCATAAGTAATTGCCTCGGCAAGCGATGCATTTTCTATAGATGATGTGGATTGTTTGGGTTGGATTGGAAAGGCCATGTTTGTAGACATAAAGTTATGCTGTCATAGGGCTAAGACCAAATGACACCAATTATTTGAGTGTCTGTGAACGTTCATGCAAGGCTCGATTGTGTTATCTTTTGTAGTATATAATACTGTCTATAAGGAGATTGCTAGTGGTGTGCACTGCTAAGGGCATGTAACGTTCTGGAAGTGCTAGCTTACTATGTACAGCATATATGTATTAATTTAAATTTGTATGTGTACTACGACAAAGTAGAGTTTAAAATAGTCAAGTCTCACAGCGACAGTCTCACAGACTGACTGTCGTGTGCAATGTGAGCCCGCCAAAATATTTCTATTGGCTGGTTTTGTTGGTGACGGTCAGTACAGCCCAATCGAACATCGATTAAAGCAAGTAAATAATATTCTGATGACACTGATGCAGCAGCTGAAAAGTCACTGAAGTGTGAACCCTGAATTGATAAAAATGCATGTCCCCTATGTACCTGCTTATTCTGCATTGCAGGAGGGCTATTTATATTAAACCCAAGTTATAATTTTAGTACATATATCTAGCACATACTCTAGCACATATATATGTATACACACCCTAACACATAACGAACTCTAAACCAGTAATTTGATCGAAACATATCAGCAACTACGTCCGCTACTTGCGGGGTTTTGCACAACTCGTACATATAATGACTTCTATGCCCGAGGGGTCGCGGGTTGACCCCATCAGCTCCATCGCACCGGAATTTACAGTGGAGGGACAATGTGAATCGAATGGGTAAGTGTGTGAGATATTGCGTGGTTCTTGATGAATTCTGAATGCTTGTTGCTTCCGAAGAAATGAGATGGGATGGTTCAGTGATGAAACTTTACCAGTTGAGTTTGTAGAGATACTATGAGTTTGGCATCGGATCCGTCTGAAGAACTGTTTTGGATGGATATGTATCTATAATCTTATGTTTCTGGATTATACCATGAACATTACATTCTTCCGACAAAACTACTAGGTTGGGTGAGTAAGCAAGACCTTGTGTATATCTCTAGGAATACTATGAGTGTTTGATCCTTCTAAAGAACTGTTCTCATCGGGATCTGATAGTGCACAGCTTCGTACTTTTATCGTATCGTCGCTCGTTTGTACCTTGGAAGATTTTAATGTATGTATTCTACACACGAAACTTATAAATGTGTTGCTAACTGACATTCTAGCAAATTGTGATACGTTTTGTATGGAACTAGTGGTACTTCAGTCGTATGATTGCGATACGCTTATAGTGTCGATTCGATAATATCAATCGTGTATCACCTGTCGCTGAATCATGTGGAAGGTGCGACAAATTTGTAATAGCTCAAAAGAAAAGTTTTACATTCCGGTCTTCTGAACTAATAAAATAATATAGACTGCCATGGTATCTTGTTTCGACGAGTAGCTACACTTGTCAAACAGTTTGAGCTCAACCTTACACGGCATGAATCGATAAGCATTGAGTGTAATATTTGGCAATTAAATATGTACAAACAAGGCAGGCAGTATTGTATATCATGATACTCGCCACCAAAGTTACTTTTCAGCGGATATGTTTCATAGGGGGCATTCCAATTGAGTATCGTATTCTATGAGCGTGCGATCTCACGAGCGAGGGTGGTAGTCAGACACTTTGCATATGAACTCTGCCTCTTGAAAATTGCAAGGAAGTATTTAAGTGCTCGAATAACATCACTAGGGAACGAAATTAGAATCCCAGCAGATACCTGTGTGACAAAAAAATCGTTTGTGCAGATAATCATTCACTGGGTTCGACAAGCACGAAGCTACACCGATATTTCCATTGAAATCTAGTAGTGAGGCATTTTACAAGCAATCCAGTCTGTTGTACACAACGCACCTGAGGTTCCTAATATCATAAACTACTTTAATAGGAGTGCTCCGGCAGAGACGCCCGTGGAATCCATGGCTCCCACCATCGAAGCGCTCGGGAGTGTTGTGGCTGGCATGACTGATTCCATCGGGCTCGCATTTCAGGTATCATACTTGTGCGTTCTTAATTTGTGATTACTTCTGAGTAGCCAGCGATGTATTTGTGCATTTATATATAGCTGTTGTGGTTCTCGTAAAGCCAATATTGAACCTCAAAGCCACTGGGTGTACGGGTTTGGTAGACATGTTTAATTACTTGATGGCATCGCTGATTGTTCTGTGTGGTAGTGTACTATCAGTATACTGCATATACTAATATCGTGTCAGCAACATTGTAGTATATACAATCCATCTGTAATGTAGAAAAATAGTCAGAAAATAGTATGTGTGCATATTTCGGAAGCATCTTCAACGTGTACGCTAATTACGATATCAATTATAACACAACCTTCGTTGTGTTCAGAATATGGCTGAGACGGTTAACAACGCCAACAACCTGGCCGCATCTCTGAATACAATGATGGAGTCCATTGTGTTACGATCACTTCACGTAGGTATGTCAGACACTCATATGCGTATGTATGCTTTTCTGTTCAAATATGAACTAGCAACACGTGTTGTCGCAAATTTCTAACATTGGCAAGTGCTACCACGAATTATGGCCCAGCGTGTACTTTCTGAACCTATAACCTGTGTAAGACACCTTGATCATCCAATGTATTTGCTTTGTACCTGCGGTGCCTCCAATCGAATCAAGTCTATCTACATTTATTTTTCATCGTCTCGCAGGCATGACTCATGTACACCTCAAACGCTAGGGCCTTGTGAAATACGTGGTCTAAATTAAAGATCCCTATGTTTTCTGTTGGAATATTCCATATTCGGCAACATATGAAGTTCCTGTGTCAAATTCAACTGAGTTGTTAATGTGGAGATGGCACCAGTAATTTTCCAACCCAGCTCCTCCACAATGTTAGCTGCTTTTTAATTGAGGTACCGTGTTTTATATAGAGGTGAACGTGCGATCTCCGGCCGGTCAAGCTGATAGATCCGGGCCCATTGTTTCCGTAACAGTGCACAACAATAATCCGATGGACCTCCACGACCTTAAGCTGGGCTTCAGTATCAAGAAGAACCAGGTGAGGATTCTAAATCCGCTGCGATTGTCTTTGTATTGAAGTCTGTTCGAAAGGTGTGAGATGTGGTACTAGTCTGAGATGTCAAGGCATATTTTAAAGAACCATGGTCCGTGGACAACTTTTCCAGAGAGAATACTCGTATGCATATGCGGAGCATGAATGTCGTCTATCTATTTTCTCATATACTTGTATGTTGATGTATACGAGTTTTACCAGACATTTGTATGTCTACGCGATAGACACCTTGGAAATGCATTTGACACCGCCGTGGTTTTTCTTGTTACTGTGACAATGCCTATACTCAATGTGCAGTATAATCTTAGCTCATTGATATGCCTGACTTGTTATGGAAGTGGTGTGGCTTGATTGTGACACTTGTCAATGTCCATGCTTGATCATGGTTTCAAAGTTATGCTATATCGTATATAACTGTCTGTGACCGTTGCAGTGATCAGAATTTGAAAGTATATCATACCCAAAACAGTGGATGTAATGTCACGTCCTTTAGTTGCCATAGCAGAATAGTTCAGTGGGGTGCAAGTACAATACATTTTGCTATCACTCAGAACATGAACATGTTGCAATACAGTGCGCATTGAGTTGGAAACCTAAATCAATTCGCGTGTGGAAATCACACCTGCTATGTTCACAGGCAATGGTATCAACTACGTTCAACAGATTGATGGACAAATGCCAAACTTCATGTCGGTGTTGTGACACGAACGCACCGAACTTGACTGTCGATGTACTCAAAGCTGGTGATAAATATCAGGTGGAATGGTATATCACGCTGCCACACTTAGATCAAGTAAGTGCACATATAAGTGGATATGTATGAAATACAATACAGAGAATCGCCACTCGCGTAGTATCTGGGGATGATTATGACTCATATGGAGACTCTTGCTCGCGAGCAGATACGAAGTCGAGTGTTATACGATAGAAAGGACTGAAAAATGCAAGCTTGTACCATTTTGTACACGCCGTGGCGATCTTTGGCTGATGAGTATTCTATCCAAACCTTTTGACTATTCCTGTTCAGGTCAATATCACAACGCAATTATCCGTCAAATCACCGGTATTTAACATCACAGGAACTGTGCTCCAAACTGAGCATGTGAGCGGCATATACACCATACATCAGGTAACCCTAAGCATGTGGTATGAGTCTCCGCGCGTGGAAGTCGGCATTGGCTCTTGATTCGTATTACATGCTATGACTGCCTCGTCTTGAGTGTACGTGTCAGACCAGTTGAAGTATGTTGCATCTCCTGCACAAATCCATATGCATGCTTGAATCGCAATGCAACACACGAGTGAATCGTGGCGTGTGTAGTGCTAAATGTACAACATGAGGTAACCCGATGCGCATCTCGCGTTAAACAGTTGCGCATCTCGCGTTGATGAAAATATGTCAGTGTCATATGTATGTACGAAGCCCTGAGTACCATCCGTGCACTCAAGAGTAGTTTCTCGTACTCAAATCAAGTATTAAACATGCAGGCAATTTTTGCTGGATTCGATTGTTGGGATTGCAGGCTGGTGCAGCGAGGCTACAACCCCTTATCATGAAATCTGAAAGTGTATAGTCATTTTAAATGCATTGTCTTTGTGCTACTAGGTGAAGCGAAGGTTCATAAACACTACGAGACCACAGAAAATCCCCGAAACAGAACGTCAGAATGAATCGGCACAGGCTGAGATCTCTGCTATGGCCCTGAGACAGTTATTTGATATCTCCCCTGTCGATGGTGTGCCTCTCGGGTCTGAATTCGTATTCGAATCCCAGGTATGTTGTACTTGTTGTGGTACGAGAGGCTTCATTTATATTGGTGAACCATCAATGCAACAGATAATGCTCTGCTGTTCTACCTAGAGCAGTGCACGTTTTGTACATCAACACGTGCCAGGCATAACTGAATATACTTGAGATCTATCTGCGAGGGCTTGGGTCACAAATGCATAACTCGACCATTCTCGTGCTGTGCGCTACGATACTGTATCCGATAGATACAAGGTGAGAATGCCAGTCGGTGTCTTTATTGCTAAAGGCCCCCGCCACAGCCAAGCCTACGGTACGACTGAGACTACCAATTGATTTGTCGTCTATTTGCGCTAGATTGTTGTTTCCTCGAGGTTTCGGCCTCGTGCTGAAGTAGATATACAGATACATACAAAACTAGTCAAACTTTGTAGTCAAGTATTTATATAAGCGCGCGTTGTGTTCTTCCCTCATACCAGAACACGGAAACAGCCAAGAATCGACAAATACACTTTGTTGTCATCGGCATTGGGACCGCGAACGCCGCAAATCTTGTGCTAAGACACGTGTCGGGATGCAACGATGCCGACGAGGAAACACATGAGCCAAAAAAGTGTACCTTCACCGGCAAGCGCTTGTTGGAAGAAATGCAACAACTTGCTGTTTAATCTACCCAGTTTACCATAGTAGGGTGTCCCAAAACTGAAGAATCGTCTTCCTGATCAATCTGAGCGATACGCCGTTCTTACCTTTCATGTCTTGTCAGTAGTCTGACTTCACCCACAACGCTTGTCATCGAGAGCTCGGCAAAGTTATCTGATATGTGCAAACGCTCGCTCTGTCAAAGTGCTCCATTTAGGTATCCGCAGGGCCGAGAGTTTTAATATATATTACGATCTCTCACAAGTGCACTGGGCAAATGCTGGCTACAATTTTCAAATCGGCCTTCAGGACGATTCAAACATCGCGTATAATACAGTTGCGTCGCTTGTACAAATTTAAAGAGACAGCACTCGGAGTTCATGTCTTAATGTTTGCAGTATCACCTGCCAAGGTTGTGCTATAGAAAATGAGCGCTCAATTGGCCCACTAAATATGCGGAGAAACTACCGCACTACTTTAAATTAGAACGCAGAATAACGCCCATGAAACGACGCCTGTTCAGTTTATCTCCTGCAGAAACTATATACTTCGCAATAATCATAAGAATAATTAAATGTCGATAAAACAGTATTAATGAGTGTTTATTGGATGTCTAGAGTGAAAACACCAGGGCGAACTCCTTCGGCATCCAATTACACAATTGCAAATCGCCGTCCCACTAATTGACAATACTATGCTCCCAGTATTACCTATCCTTCACTTTGTCGGCATACTGACATTCGTGCAAGTCAATACTGATACGGGAACTAGTACTATCCAGAGTACTATCCAGGATGTTACACGGCTAATTTGGCTATGCTGTGATAGGCACTTAGCATCTTCATCGAGCTATACGTCCCTTTCGGCACATTTCAAAGTTGGATTATTGAGCACACGAAGTTCATCTGGCGCCTATACCGATTGTGTGTAGGCATTGCTGCAGATCGCACGACGTCAGGAGTATAGATAACTTTGTATACACTCGTAATGGTCCGAATTGCTACCCAGTTCGGAATACACATAGCTCATGGACAGTTAGTTCCCAGCGAAATGGACTGGCATGGTTGTGTCGGGTGGTGAAGTAGTGTTGGACCCGCCCGAAGGGGTTTTAAAATTGAGAACGCAACATCGGCAGTCTCTCAGCACCAACTACTTTCTTTCAGGATTGAGCGCGTAAAAGCCATTTGGGCTTGGGGGGAAATTGTCAGTATAATCTCGATGTCTCTGTTGACGGAGAACAACCCGCATGCAGATGTCAACGATCGAATGTGTGTAAACCGCTTTGAGCGGCTATATATCGGAGCTGCATCCTTACAGACGATGGATCCTATGCATTTCACACAGATGTTCATAGGCATTGTAGCATGTATCGCCACACAATGAATGACTGTGAAGCCATTTCTCCCGTCGAAATGGCGGTGTGCATCTCGGGGCAATTACGCTGCTATGATACGTAAAGACGAACAACGTACTTGTAAGCAGTTCGAAGGCACTCAAACATCGTGCCGTAGTCAGTTGTGTAACATCCGCTTCTGATCATTTCCCCATTCCAGACATGGACACCCACTCACCTTTTCTCTTACTGTAAAACAGGCGATCTACCTTCCCCTATCACGCTAACACCGCCACCATCATTATTCAAACCAGGCGGCACAGCATTAAAATTACTATCAGTGCCCACACCACCGTTATCGAACGCCTGCTGTTGATACCGTTGCTGCTGCTGTTGGTGGTGCTGTGCTAGTGGTTGGTAGCCACCCATACTCCCGTGTCCTTGTGAATAGGCCCCTTGTTGCACACCTCCAAGAGCCATACTACCGGCACCCATGGCCCCGCCAGTGTGAGTAAACGGCTGCGCAAGGGGATTCGCATGCGGCATCACATTCATATTCACAGCTGGACTGAACAGCGATCCATGGTTCATACGCAAATCATCGCCGTAGCTACTCAAAGATTGCACGTGCGTGTGTGCATGCATGGACATCTGCATTGGCATCTGCAAACTACCAGAATCGCCCGCGTTGTATGCCTGGCCTGGGCCGCCTCTACCACTCTCGCCCACACTGGCATTCGAGAAGATCTGCGTGAACCGAGGCCCTGAAGCCCCCAGCCCGGGCGGAGCCCGTTGGCTCTCCATTTGGCCCTCACTTGGTCTATATACACCCCCATCAACCCCTACACCCGAACCATTGACCCCATATCTTGGTCCAGCACCGGGTGCCGTGGCTCCAGCCCCAACAACAGGAGACGGTCGTCCCACCGCCCCCACAGTTTCGCTGGCGTGTGCCCCTGCATTCCCTGATGAAGGCAGTTGTCCGCTTGTATGTGCAAGAGAAATAGATTCAGAGGTGTTCGAATTCCACCCTGACACACCAGCATTCCCCTTGGTGTCGCCGTGGTTGTCTGCATTGTTGTTGGTGGTGTGGTGTTTGCTGTTGTGGCTACGGTTCCTCATGATCTCCCCACCACCATCAGTATTGTTCACCTTACTACCAATATTAGTGGGTGACTCTCCACTGCCCCCTCCATCGCCAATAACACTATTCACAGTACTGGTGGCCCTGGTCTTGGGATTGTGTTCCGTATCATCAGCCAAGAGCGCCGATCCCGCAGGTCCCGACTGCGGTGTGAACTTAGCGGTGTACGGCAACACATCCGAAGTCGCCCACATAGTGGAATGTGGTCGAGTGTGTCCAGGACCGTGCACATCCCCACCCACGCCAACGCCCACACCTAGATTCCACATTGGGCCTTGGTGAGGGTGTCGTTGTGTGTGATCGTAAGGATTGGATGGCTGTTGCAGTTGGTGTGCAGGCATAGAGCCGGGTGGCCCGGTCTGTGTGAGCGCGTGAGCGTGAGGCGATACGCGCGAATTTCCACTCGACCATGGCGCTGTATTTACCGCCATGGGCTGGTTCACACCCATCGCCCTGGGAATTTCCTCATTCGCCTTGAGACTAGGCGACACTGGAGCCCCCCCTCCCAAGCCGCTTTGGCCTGCCCCACCCACGCCCACTCCCACAACAGGTGGCTGCATCTGTGGTCCCGGAGAGGTTCTGGCCCATATACTGGCCGATGTATTCAGAAGGTCCATGCCACCCGATGTCGACGGCGGTTTCGCGAAAAACGAGCTCTTCAGCAGAGCTTCCGGTAGACTTGCTTCCCCCGGAGAGCCGATCACAGCCTTGGCACTTCCTCCCTGTATGTTAGACTGTGCGTACGACTGAGGCTGTGAGTACTTCTGATTCGGCGCGTGCCCATGTGCGTCTACAGTGGGATTTGAATAGTTTCCTCTAGCAGAAGCATTCACATCACTGCTAATATCGCCATTGCGATTCGAGGCGGCCTGTCCCACCAGCCCCACGTTCGCATACCCGCCCTGCTGCGGTACATCATGCGCAGTGTTCTTCTGTGGGCCATTCCCATCGTATTCATCTCCTGAGGTGTCCAGTTCTTTCCACCAGTCTGGTGCAGTGTACTCATTGAACTCGTACCGCTCATCTTCGCCTTCCTCTTCTCCCTCGTTTCCTTCCACATCTAACACATCGGGATCATTGTCCTCATAGTCGCTCAGCAGCCCATACGGCACACTACCATACGCATGTTCGTCCATGCCCAGGTTATTGCCAGCGGGATTGCCCAGACCGGGGGGTGCTCGCATCGCAGGCGCCTCAGTACCATACTCCCCATCGCGGTGTTGCTGGTACTCGCGAGTCCTGTGTTGGTGCGGGCCCATATCCCTGACCCCACTCGACGTATTACTATCAGCGTCAAGCCATGCAGATAGTACTGAACTGTCTTCTGCCTCGCCAGCTCCACCAACCCCCCGATAGCCCCCACTCATGGGCAAACCATCCCGTCCCTGCACACAGCTGCCCGTCACCTTGGCAACGCTGAAGGTGATACGCGAAGGCTTTGTGGTGCAGTTGAGAAACTTATCGCCTGGTGGCACTCTTGCGAGCCACACGCCCAGTCCTACCAGGTAGTATATGCGTGCACGCTTCTCGGCCTTCTCATCGTACTTGGACCGCAGATCAATGTGTGTCAAACATCTCGAAGTAGGTATGAAACCCTCCAACTCAACGTCCTCGGGTAACGCGCGTCTAGGCTCCTGGTGCCAGAAAGTGGGGACAGACGCCACCCGCTTCCACTCAAAGGACGATATACTCCACGGCAGCACAGTCAATAGCACGGCTAGCAATCTCCCTACATCCTCACTCCGGAGTGTCTCAGATGAGTACGGGTCAAGCCCACCATATCCGGCTCCACCTACCATATTGCGTCTTTCCGCATCTCTACTGTTGCCGCCTTCTTTCGCATTCGCACGCCCACTACCAGGGCCCATCCCGCAATTGGTACCGCTATTGTTTTCGCTGCCCGCCCAAGGCAAGTCACTGAGCGATTCCCCAGACGTTACCCCGCCCAAACTCGCGCCAGCACCCTCGGGAGGCGAGTTCATACCAGGCCGAAATGTTTTCTTGTTGTACAAGTAGCCCTGCACCCACTCGTTGCAAGACACCCAATCCAAGAACACCTTGATACTCTTCAGATGCGGAACATCCTTCCCCAACGATCCGAACGAAGCACTACTCCCGGTCCCTGTGGTCCCACTCCCTCCAGCAGCCGCTCCCACTTTCGACCCGCTATTTAAACCTGTACCATCCTTGGTATTGTTCGGATTACTACCAGGCTTGCCACTCGCACGGGCATCCTCACGACCGTCCCGGTTACCACCATCTCTATTCCCACCGCCCCGGCGCCTCTGATTGCGCGCACGTTTGCGGTCACGATTGGATTCGGCGGTACTGTCACTGAGCAGCTTTGCGAGGCCCTTGGCACTGCGTATGCACACCAGCAACACGCGAACCACAAACTTCATGCAGAAGGAAAACATTTGCAGGTCGCCCGGGTTCGGGTTAGGGTCGCACACACCGTTTAAAGCGTCCAGAGCTGTTACATTGACTATCATCATGCGCAACGTAGCCGTCTCACTCAAACCTTTGCCCTTTAGAAGGCCCCGCAACGACTCTAAAACAAAGTTCGCCACCACTTTGAACTCCTGCGACGCGCACTCGTCCGCCTCCCGCATACCGTGCAGCTGCACAAAGCGTGCGAACAATTCGTTGATCTGCTTTGCGCGTGACAAGGGTCTGACACTTGGCCTATTTGGGCCCTTTTTAGATCCAGAAAGTCGATTACTGTCTGTGCGATTGTCGCCCATCTCAGAATACCTTAAATTGTTGCCACTCTTTCCACCTGAACCCATACTGTTGCCCGTGTTCGCACCGCTTCTGGACTCAGCATTGGTGAAAGCGGGGACCAATACAGATGGCGTAGGGCCCAGGCGCTGCCGATTGTTCTCGAATAGCGCCTTCACATTATCACCAGAATTGTGAAACGGAGATATGCAATTCAAGCTGCGTGCATAGTGATACAACGCACTCATCTCATCCCCCAGGTACGTTGCAATCACACCCAGTTGATTATGCGGGGACCCACTCAGAGGATCTAATCGTGTGGCAAAGGTGTAGAAATAACGCGCAGTATCATATGTTTTTCGTGTCGAGCTGCCTAGAAGCTCTCTGTATCTTGCTATATCACCCAGAAACACTATACACCTGTGCACTGCCTGCCTACCAGCGTCACGCACATGTGCCTCAACCGCATCATTTCTTCGAGGTGTGTACGTTGCCATGCCAACGCGATCGTAGTCGTTCACCCCAAGCATTGCTACACCATATCTATTCCTTAGGGATACCACTAACTGATAATAGAACCCATACGCCATAGCTAAGAACGACTCAAACGCCCGCTGAACACCCTGTAACTGCTCTGCATTGTCTTTGACGCGTGCACACCACCGTCTATATTCATCAATGCTCTTATGAAAACACACCTTCCATAAACGCTGCTCAATATCATGTGTACTAGCGTACAGTATGTTATGTAGTAGTACATCTGTGTATAGTTGGCGTAGTTGCCCTCTAAGGAGAGAGTGAACCATGTCGCCCGGAGTGCCCGTGGGCTGGCTTGTAACCTCGCGCATCTCATTCTCGAGTGCGGCTATCTGTGCAAGCAGACTATCTTGACTTTGATTCACTATAGACATCTTTGTTCAGCAGGTATATTATTTCTATCAAAGATCGAATACGAAATGGATATAGAATATATCTGCATCTATACACGTCACCGCTGTAGATGGCGACTCGCGCTTGGTATCTCCAACCTGAGATTCTTATTGAATCACCACATGATTTTTTATGAGAGAGCACACTGTGTAATCAATGCACCAGCGTGTCCGTTTACTACGGATCAATGTTTAGTCGTGATTTGATAGGTGGCACATATGTATATCACCTGTATACAGTGTACTTGTAGATTTGCCTTGTGAGCGCGTTTGTCGACTGTTGTCGACAGACATCCTGTTGTGATTTTCACATATGGCGGCATCTGTCGAGGACCAAAATTGTTTCGGTTTTTATAACTTTTAAGTAAAAACTTGGTTTACACCAATCTCAATCATAAAAGAACCAAAACAGACGAGACGTCGTCTCGCGACTTTAAATATACGATCCCAGTGGGATTCTATGCAAAGTGGTTCAGTGTGAGAATATGCATTGAGTATACATGACATTGATCGTGTTGTGTGCCTCCCTTGCACAAAATTCATAAAGTTGGTTATCAACGCTACAGCCAACCAGGATAAATTCTATAGATATATATATATATATATATATATATATATATATATATATATATAGTAGTACGTA